ACTCTAAAAATGCCAAAAACAAAAACATTCTCACTCTGTGGCTTTATTTCTCAGAATTTGCTAAAGTGCAGTGAACATACACAATACACATGTCCAATATTATAAGCAATAAAGGGGAACACAAATGTTCAACTCAAACTTGTCAGCCAGGACGATGAAGATGCATCTTATTTGTAAAAACAGGCATCATGCAGTCCTAAACTTAGTTAGTAGACTATTAAACTTGTGCAAACGATTGTTTACATGCACCAGGCTTTAATTCAGAACAGAAGCACTGACATGCGCAGTTGCTAACTCGCCTCGGCCAAAAAAACAAAAGAGTTTTACTTTCATCATAAACGTAAACAAACAGCTTCTGAGCGCTCAGAATGGACCTGCAACAGCTTGACGGATGGCCTTTTTAAATTTTATTTATTTATTTATTTATTTATTTATTTATTTTGAATTTATTTTGAAGCGGCACAGGCTGTCTTCCTTCTTTAGGAGGAGGAATTGTTCTGTGCTGCTGTGCGTGTGTGCAACAGTGCTGCTGTTCCTCCCTCCACTCTGCCTTCTAAATGATGGACAGACCACCGACTAACATTTTCGTCCAGTCTCGTCAATGAAAACTCACACACGTTTCGTCATGTCTTAGTCATCAAAGAGCTGTTTATTTCCTTACCGTCTTGTTATCGTCATGAAAAAAGGGGGCGGCAACGATAATATTTCGTCATTGTTAACGAAAACAACACTGATCGTCCGATATGTAAAACTGGGCTGATATTAACGTCTGATATTGATTTCCCACTTTTTATCTTTCCAGCAATAATCAGTGTGCATTGCCAATGCAATGCACACTATTGTGATTCGTTTCCCATCCAAGTCATCTCAACTTTGCCATGCTTCTCCTCCTGCATACTTTGTCCTAGAGCTGCCATTGTAATTTAAAACTGTAAAGCCCCTGTGCCAAATGATGGCTATGCCTTTTGGTGCCTGTAAAACTGATATTTTTTGAAATATTAATGTTTCATAAATTATAATGGCAGTCAAT